GTGGACTGTGGATCTAAGCAAAATGAAATCACTGACAACTTCCATCTTTTTTTCATCCATCATGATGTTGTCTATTGGTTCAGGGGAGAGCAATTTTGTTTCCTTGATGTCGAGATATGATTCATATTGAGCTATTGACTTTGATTTTTGGTAGTGTTTCAAGTCTTCTTAACTTTCTGCAAGCAAAGTGTGTCATCTAGATAAAGCAGGCTGTTGATGAGTCTCCAATGTAGATGCAACATCCTTCTTCATATAGTACAATAGGAAAATTAATAAGAAGACCAAAAATTATTGATGTATTTGAACTCTGGTGTTGGCAAAAAGCAATGAGTACGCCTTGGACTGCCAAAAAATAAGCAAATCTATTTTGAAGGAAGTGCAACCAGGGTTGTTCCGTAGAGACAAGAATGGTGACACAAGAAGAAAAAAACATTATGGTGACACTTCATCATATTTGGGGCATATCATCAGTAAATGCTAGTCCTTGAAAAAAGGCATTATGCAGGAAAAGGTAGAAGATTAACAAAAGAAAGGAAGACTGTCAACAAGATGGATAAAGACAGTGGCTACGACAGTGGCCGAAGTCGAGGATGGTATAGGACAGAGCAAGTTTTAGATCTTCTTTTCATAGGGTCACTATGAGTTAAACCTGACTCAAAGGCTTCTCGTAAAAATAATGTAAAAAAAAAAAACACACACAAAAAACAAAAAAAAACACAGGACTTTACCTTTTGAAATAGTGTTGCTGTCAGGTACTGTCAAGTCAATTCCTAATTGTAGCAGCTTCATGTACAAATGAACAATGCCAAGCCTGATTTAGTACTATCCTCACGAGGATTGCTAAGTTTGGCTCTGTTGTTTCAGTCTCTGTATTAATCCATCTAGTTGGGATTTTTTTCCTTTTCTTTGACCAGGCATGATGTCTTATCAGTGACTGGCCTGAGAACACATGGGCTTTAAGTCTTCCAAGACATATTGTACATTCATCTGCCAGTCTAAAATATATTCAATATTTTCCCCAACATCATCACTCTATGGTATCAATTATCAGCAGCATTGCGTTATTTATTTTTAAGCTTTTGAATGGATAGGAGGTGAATGAAGATACCATAGCTGGGTAACACTTGGTTCTTAAAATGACATCTTTCCTTTTTAACATTGAAGTGCTTTTGCAGTATATTTATCAATACATTATGTCATTTGGTGTGTTTTTTTTATTTCTGTTTTATTGTTTTTGCTGTTATTTGCCATCATCACTGTGACTCATAACAACCTTATGTACAACAGCTCTGAACTCTGCCCTATCTTGAGCCATTTTCATCATCTCTGACACACCTGTCCTCATTACCCCAGTTACTGTGTCAATCTATCTCATCCAGGGTCTTCCTCTC